TGTAAGTAGTTACAATAATCACCACCTGTTAGTAAACGGATTGTTCTGTGAACGGTCTGTAAGTAGTTACAATAATCACCACCTGTTAGTAAACGGATTGTTCTGGGAATGGTCTGTAAGTAGTTACAATAATCACCACCTGTTAGTAAACATGCTTTATTAGGAGTGGGCTGTATGTAACTGAATTAATCACCTCTTGTTAGTAGGCGGGCTGTTATAGGAGCAGACTTTAAGTAGTTATAGTAACCGTTATTTGTCAGTAGCTATTATAATAATGGGGTGTCAGTGAGCTAATTGTCTTGCTAATAACCTGAATATATTTATCAGTAACTACGTGATCACTACATTCTACTTAAAAAGACATGTAACCCTAATGTTATTACTACTGTAATGTTTGTGTTAGATAACTACAACTTTACGGTAAGTTTTGTCAAGGCAGACAATATCTGATTCGTTGATAACTACAACTTTACGGTAAGTTTTGTCAAGGCAGACAATATCTGATTCATTGACAACTACAACTTTACGGTAAGTTTTGTCAAGGCAGACAATATCTGATCCGTTGACAACTACAACTTTACGGTAAGTTTTGTCAAGGCAAACAATATCTGATTCGTTGATTAAGATATTCTCTACGTATTTCCACGTGAGGTTATTCCACGTGAGATCCGGTTGTCATAACCAGATCGGGATTAGAGCTGAGATGTTCCACTTTCATTCCTGGTTATCTACCTTTCGTAAACGCTGCTTTCATCGTGATTACGTCAGGCTTGGCCTGTTTACTTTGGGACACAATAGCGATTTTAATCTAGTTGTAGTTCATTCTGTTGAGACACAATGAACTTCGTTAGCTCACCCCCCCCCGACATTTAATTCGCTAATATCACCAGGAATTCACGTCAGGATGCTGAAAGAGATCGATAAGTTAGCTATGCTGCACTTTACGTAATGATAGGCTTACGTTATATCATATAATTATAACTCTGTTTACACGCATGAGGTTTTCTAATGATAATACCTACGTTACTCAATACGGCTCGCTTTGAAACTGTAGCATCAAACGGAATCCGATGTGTAACCAACTACTGATGGTGTTTTATTCATCAGCATGCTACAAACAAATACAGAAAGCAGCTAGGTTACCCTAGAATCAGGAAAAGAACTCGCTTAAACGTAATCCTTAAAAATGCGAGTCTTCTTTGATATAGTTGTCAGATAAACGGCTTTTAAATCGTTCGGACAAAAGGTGATCTTAACTAGATTTAGTTTAACAACCATTGCTGACACGTGTTTATGAGAATATTTCAGTACTTTTATTACCTAAAGATAGAAAGCGAATCCACGCATAGTCTGGACTATCTAATCTTCTACTTTTGAATGCTAAAAATAGAAGATAGTTTATTCAAACATTTTCAGCCGTTTTCAGCTCCATCGCTAGAACGAACTTCTGTAGTCGTAATCCTGACTTTTTCCAGCGAAAAACAATTTTCTTATTGCCAACCTTCTATAAATTTAAAAGCAGTTAAGATAAGAACCTATAACTCCAAAATGTATCTTTTGTTGCTAAATAATTTGCTTTAGATTATAAACCGCTAATCGTGTAGGTCGTGAACCGCTAATGATGTACATTATGAATAGCTAATGATTTAGGTTATGAACCGCTAATGGTGTAGGTCATGAACCGCTAATGGTGTGGGTTATGAACCGCTAATGGTGTGGGTTATGAACCGCTAATGATTTAGGTTATAAACCGCTAATGATGTAGATTATGAACAGCTAATGATTTAGGTTATGAACCGCTAATGGTGTAAGTCATGAACAGCTAATGATTTAGGTTATGAACTGCTAATGGTGTAGGTCATGAACCGCTAATGGTGTAGGTCATGAACCGCTACTGATGAAGCTGTAAAGCCAAATATTATTGTAAACTTCTTAAAAAAACAATATACTACACGTGTATAATTATTGAATCCTAGAACAACTTTGCGCCAAGTTTCCCGTCAATGAGTTATATATATATATATATATTATATATTATACAATATATATATATATATATATTACAGTACATAAATATCAAACGTATTTGATCACGATTCGGATGAGTATAAATATCAATATCTAAAACTGTGTGTCAATTAATATATATATATTTTCTTTCTTGAAACAATAGAAATTAAAATAACCACGAGATAAACTGAACCCCAACGTGATGACCCTGAAGTTAGGTCCGAGGATTGACCTTGCACTAAAGAACGTGGTAGTTTCAGTTATTATAAAGTGACTTTCTAGAAAATGCTGGGGACTGTTTCCTTAGTTCAACTGTTCCTTACTAGAAAGTGATCGGGGACTGTTTCCTTAGTTCAACTGTGCTTACTAGAAAGTGATCGGGGACTATTTCCTTAGTTCAACTGTTCCTTACTAGAAAGTGCTGGGGGACTGTTTCCTTAGTTCAACTGTTCCTACTAGAAAGTGCTGGGGGACTATTTCCTTAGTTCAACTGTTCCTTACTAGAAACTGCTGGGGGACTGTTTCCTTAGTTCAACTGTGCTTACTAGAAAGTGCTGGGGGACTGTTTCCTTAGTTCAGCTGTTTCTTACTAGAAAGTGATGGGGACTATTTCCTTAGTTCAATTGTTCCTTACTAGAAAGTGCTGTGGGACTGTTTCCTTAGTTCAACTGTGCTTACTAGAAAGTGCTGGGGGACTATTTTCTAAGTTCAACTGGTAGTACAGCCATCTGGTGTCTAGGGTTTTCATCAGAGGTGAGATAGTATATATAGTAAAATGAAACAAAATTCGGGTTTCAATACCCGTTGTAGGAAGGGTACAGATAGCCCATTTTGTAGCTTTTTGCTTAACCAAACCTGACGACAATCTAATAATTTCGAGGGTCTTGTTTTAATCTCAACGGTATTGTTTACACTGTCATGTTGGAGAGCACGTGTGTTGTGGTGGTTCCCCGAGGAAATGGCGAAATGAACAACCTCGGTTCATGTCTTATGGAGTTATACGGTCGTTCATATTTGATTATTTGAAACTCCTTTCTGCACTACTTGAACTCTAATAAATAAGCTCTAACAGTTAGAAGTCACGGCTCTAAGGTTACTAGAACGTTCGAATAGTTGACTAAGCTCTAACATTAGAAGTCACGGCTCTAAGGTTACTAGAACGTTCGAATAGTTGACTAAGCTCTAACATTAGAAGTCACGGCTCTAAGGTTACTAGAACGTTCGAATAGCTGACTAAGCTCTAACATTAGAAGTCACGGCTCTAAGGTTACTAGAACGTTCGAATAGCTGACTAAGCTCTAACATTAGAAGTCACGGCTCTAAGGTTACTAGAAC